TATTATATATAATTTATGAATTATCATCAATACAAGAAATTAACATATAAAACAATGTTCCAATACAAAGACATTACCATGGTACTGAATAAACAAATAATATCAAAAAGTGATGGACAATATCATAAAAGATCAACTATATATGTAACAGATAAAAATAATAAAACTGGTCTATTATTTGATATAACCATTGTTGCACATCACAACATTAGTTGAGGGTATTGGAAGAAAAGAAATATGTATAAAGAAATAAAAAAATAGAGTAAAGAAGAAAAAATAAAGATATCAAAATGGTTGCAGTAGTAATCTCTATAAATCTTATAATAAATACAGAGAATATTAAATTAATCAAAGAATTAAAAAAAATGAAATAATCAATATAAAAGAAGTTAAAAATCTTGTAATAAAAAATATGATGGATGTCATGGAACATTGCCTCCACATCAAGAGAACACGCTCAGTAGAACTGGTATACAATATTAAGTGATACGGTTAATCTCTGCTGATTCAAGAACAATTATATTAATACTTGATTAACTGGTTTTTATTAATGATAAAAAATTCTTTAGTCCTCTCTTCTACAATAAATAAAAAATTAAAACAAATTTAAGAATTAAAACTTAGACTATAAGTCAATTTAAATGAAATGAAAGAAAGTAAAGGTGATAGAATTTATGTTATACTTCAATAGAATCTGTCATACTGTCTGATGTATCTTTAACACAAAACCAATTTTCATCATCAAATCTAATATTTTTATCTAACATATCAAACTTAAGTTGTTGTTGTTTAATTAATGAAGTCCTAAGATTTTGATATGACGATGTGTCTAATGAAAATGGTCTTAATTTTTTCTGAGCCTTTGGAGATTTTTTCAATGGCTTAACTGAAGAAACACATAACTTATTTTGAGGTTGATCAATTTCGTCGACACTTAAAACATTAACACTTAGTGGTGGTATAATTGGTGATGTTGGAGAACGTGGGGTTGAAGAAACAACAAGTGGCTGAATAATCAAATCTTCTGATTGTTGGTTAATGACTTGTTTTTTTATTCCTTTTTTCATTGGAGTTTCAGATTTTATTTGAGTAAGGCGTGGAAAATTCCATACGTCTCTAATATCATATGAGGATTCTTCTTCAAATATTGAAACTCTATGGTCTTGACACTCTTCATCTCTTATAATTAGGTTTTCTTGTTGAACCTGATATTTCCAAGTTATCTCAACTCCTAAAGGTAATGTAATTGAAACATTCCAATGATTTCCAATGGTCTTTTCCATTAAATGTTGATCTTTTTCATTTATTTTAATAACAACTACCTGATTATC